TGATCAATAATCTGAACAAACAGTATTTATGCTTGTGATAATTGAAATTAAGTTATTAAAATTTTCACAATTTCTCTTTCGTTACACGATTCTCTTCGTAGAATTTCGTAACGAAATTTAGTGAAAAAGAAAATTCGAAATTTACCAACAAGAAGTTTATAGTAAAAAGCTTGTGGTTTTGGATTCGAACATTTCCGTTTCTCCATAGAAAGATCGCAAGCACTTACAATTTTCATGATTTTCTTTCTTTTTTTCCCCAGTCGGCACTCCGATGGATTTACCAAAAATTGAAGAGCCAACCGAAGAACAGATTAACGAATATCACGGGAAATTTATCGATCATTTGGTGGATTTCTTCGAAAAGGAAAAACACAAATACGTCGAAAATGCTGATACGGTGCACTTAGAATTCGTATAGTAACACTACGATAGTTGTGACCATTTCTTAGTAGATCCTCACAATGACTGTTCAGTAGACTAAGAAAATTCTCGATTATACATACCTATATTCCAAATAATCTTTGTGTTGTGAGAGTGTTGCGTAAACAATATATATACCACTAAAAAGAATATACCTCTAGAAAAATTTACTAGAAATTAAGATTTGAACATGTTTTTGAACGAGGCATGTTCCATTAATACACATACAAGATACATTTTCGAGGCAGAGTCGTTGTTTTACTTTTATTTTATTAATTAATTTTATTGTATTAATAATCTTTCTTCGTGAAGTTTCTAATCTCCCTCATGTGTCTGAACCAAATATTGCAGTGTCGATATATTTTGCATATTCGACTCATTGACGTCCGAATCTATAAAAACTGTATTCATAATGACCTTATTGAATAATCAATCTCTGTGAGGCTGATCGAAACAGAGATGAACAATTGTTAGAATGTCTCTTCATAAATATAGTTAGGACAAAAGTACAATTTTATGCATCGTTGCGCTTTAATTCGAATCTGAATGTTTCACTTAACTTTCCACTTTATTTTCGCAATAAAACGTACGTGAAATCTTGCTGAACGTCACCATTGCTCCTTGAAATATATTACTGGTGGTATTATCTTTTTATATTAGGAAAATGTCAATTAATTGTATCGACTGATACACGTCATTACACTTATAATACGTTTGTTTGTCAGAATACGAAATGAGAATGAACTTCAAGCGAAGTTCATTCATAATTCATATTGCATTCTACATTTACGCATTAAGAATGTGTGAACAGTTAAATTCAAGGTAAATTGCACGTTAAAGTTCATGAATCCATCAGTAAATCTTTACGTAAATTTGACATAGAATATTTCGCAATTCAGATTTAATCTTTATGAAACAATATTGCGTCTGCATTAACCGAATAAATGATCTAGCTGTATAATTCATGTAAACCACATTGATCTTCGGCAATGCGCTAAATTTTACTTAGTTGGATTTCCACGTTCGCATGACAATTCAAACAGTGGTTAAGAACGTGTGCACTGAACCGGCACGTCTGCAACTATTTTCCTACAAAACTAGTGAAAACCAGTGATCTAAACCCGATGTATTTATTTTGCAATTTTTCACACGGGATATTATGTACGGAAGTTCGCAATGCCTTTCGTACAGATATCACCGGGTACAACGAATTGTCGCCGACAATCCAAATACGTGTAATCATATTGTTTACGTATCGTTTAAAAATTTCTATCCAATCGTCTCGCAAAAGATTAAATTGTCTACAAATTAAGATAACTTGCTTCTTTCTTTATGTCCCTTCTATATAAAAGTAGATGAAGATTCTTCCTCGCGTACTTACTCTGACAATACCTCAAATGTTGCAGTGCCCTCATATTTTGTATGTCACATATCTACTTCCGTCCTGATCTGTAAAAGTTCATCCTGTGAAACTGGAATTCTGATGAAGAGTGTAGAGTTAAATCCTCTTCAGAAAAGACTCAAATATGATACGGAGAAAAGAGCAGGACACTTGGTTTGATAGTGAAGTTGCAAATTTTTCGGTAGTAAGAAGTAGGAGAAGTAATAGTAAATTGGTGGACGTGCGTCATCATCTGAGATGACTGACGGAAAATAATAATAAATAAATACACTGGGTTTCGAAATAAATACACTGTGTTTCGAAAAGACCATGTTAAATTATAAAAGATATTCGATATGAAAGTTAACGTATTAGTTAGCAGATATCTACTACAGAAGACAGCTTGAAATATTTTGGAAATTGTAACAGGCTCGCTTCTGTTACTGAACCGCAACATCCTTTATTCACTTACAATTCACTTATACGTGTATACTTGATTATATAAGGTAACTTATTTTTAGAATGCGAACGTACAAATTTATATACGTATGTACATATTCATGTGCACAGGAAAGGTATCCATTAATATTGATCAGTCGAACCTGCATCAGACATGAAATAGACCCTAAGAGAATAATTAACTTATATATATATATAT